CTGATTCGGTGTTCATCAAAATCATGAACTTAGCAATTTGTGCTGTTGACTGCAGTTCCAATAACACCATTTATGCCAAAATATATGGTGTTACCATGGGATATTCTCTACGTCAAACACTTGCTAACATCTTTGTTGGTAACCATGTGAAACACAACTCTGATGGTATGATAACGAGCCTCCATCCATTTCTGAGAAAGTTCTGAGGAAGGGTCACCAGACCCGAAACGTTAACTCTGTTTTTTCCTTCACCGATGCTGCCAGACCTGCTGAGCTTTTCCAGCAACTTTGTTTTTGTAACTCTCACTGCTCCTTCAGCTCTATTTCCATTTGGGTAAGCAGCATTCTGTTTTTGAAATGAAGGCATGCGTTCTGAGGAACAGGTCATTATTTGCCAGTGTCGTGCAATTGGCAAGCAGGGAATGAGAAATACTTCTACTGGGCCAGATAGTGTCAGTTATTTCTTTTCTCTGAAGTGACCACACCACAAAAGAATAAAAAAGTTATTGAAATAAGAAATGCGAAAATTTTACTATCAGGGAATACAAGACTTGAACTTTGTCCTCTAGATTGCAGTGTGAGTACTTCTACTAACAGCATGCCAATAGGATCCCTATTAATTACAATTACAGAAAGATTCTATAAAAAAAAAACTACCACATGCAGATAAGTAATATCAAATGGGGGGAGAAGTATTAAAGCTTAATATTTTAGAGCATAGTTGACAATTACCTTATGGGGTTTGTGTTGAGATAAAATACAACTGGATGAAGTTACCAGAATGCTCCACTTAATTACATGTTGCAATCAATTTTGCATTCTTCTGGTCAGCAACTCTGTAGTTGGTACACAGAATTTAAAGCAACTGTTAATCTGTTAATAATATTTAACAAATAAAAATGGTATATTTATATTTTTGTTCTTCTTCCATATTACTATACGCACTATGTAAAACAAAATGTAAACTGTGCATTTTATAACATGTTTAGGCAAGAAATTGCAATACTCCTTTCATTTCTTTTGACTTTGGCCTTGAATGCAACTGTTTAGTGTAGTAGTGTCAATCAATGGCGTTATAACTTGCAAAGACTTGAACAGGAATAGAAAACAATTTGTTGTACTTAGTAAGTAATTAAAAATATTTACATTTCACAAGGTAACAAGTGCTAACAGCATCCTAATTACTTTCAGAAACTGGTATATATTTTGTCGTAGGACTTGATTATAGTGTTTAATATATTTTTCCCTTGAAGTTACAATACCTCTACCATACTTCAATCACAATTAAATCAGCAATGGTTACGAGATATTTTGTAATACATGCAATTTTGGAATAACACAAATATTTAGTAAATTCCATAATGACTTTAAATTGCCTTTATCAAACCTCAAACTTGTTGACAAAACAGCCTTAAAATGATCTTTTGAACTAATTGCTTATGTAACACACAAAAGGAACCTTTCTCCTAAAGTAGAAGTATTATACGAACAACTACAAACACAACATTAAAACATTGATGAGTAACTCATACTTTCCTTCCATTTATCCGGAATCTTCTAACTAAAAGTTCTACATTTGTGATGACTGCTCAGTAGCTGTTATAACAATCACTCTATGATCAGATGGATGAAGGAATATGGCAAGCAAAACATCAAGCAACAAGGACACACTGATGCCAAGTGTATTGGTTACCCAGAGGAAAACACAACTGCCGCCATGCAATGCACAAATGAAATATGACTACATAAACTATTTGGTAATAAGTCAACAAATACAATAAAGTATCAAAATCTCAGAAGCCACCATAAAAATGTGAACTTGCAGACCCCAGCTGGGAAACCAAAAGGATCTAGTAACTAAATAGAATAAATAGCTAATTAAATCTACATGGAAAAATAGTTAACCAGTTGTGTTATTAAAGCAAGCAACACAATTTTAAAATCAAATCAAAAAATTTAAATACAAAATAATGAAAACAGGCATCTTATCTGAGTAAATAACACCATCTACACTAACGTTTATATTAGTACCAAATTTAGTATACAAGGACTACACGTGTTTTTTTTGTCACAGCAACGTGCAAACACGTTAAATCCCCCATAATCTCAACCTACCGTGTGTACACAGCTCCGGGAATCTGTGATGTACTCAACTACACTAAATTCAATGGCTACTTTTAAAACAAATTTATCAGAATAACTGTCTATTAATTATCCATATGAATTTTAACATTAACGTATTTATTACAGAATAACCGGAGTTATTTTAATAATGTTTACGTTACCTAAGAGGAAAAGCAGAAACAAATAGTGGGATACAGTTGAAATGCACGCAATAGCGAGGTCCAAAATAATTCCTATCAATAACAGACAACACAGTAGGTCAGGCAGCATCAGAGAAACAGGAAAGTTGACGGTTCGGGTCGGGACTCTTCTTCAGAAAAAGGGCCTTTTCCGAAGAAGGGTCCCGACCCGAAACGTCAACTTTCCCGCTCCTCTGATGCTATCTGACCTGCTGTGTTCCTCCAGCTCTACACTGCGTTGTCTCTGACTCCAGCATCTGCAGTTATTACTATCTCCTGCTATCAACAATGTTGCTTTGTTATCTTTCAAGACATCAGAAAGACACACCAATTCAGTAAAATTCTACTTTATTTTGGGTGCACAAAGGAAGCTGTTTTCAAAATGTGAAATAAAACATCGGCTCGCATTTTGGATTACATGCGCAGATTGCTGATTTTCGATGCAATTATACAATATCTACAATTAAACTTTTTGTCGGTCGTTATAGTATGTATCAAAGCTGATAGTAACATCAACAATAGTGTCGACTGCGGCATTTAATATATGCGAGAAGCTAAAGTTAACAAAAAATACTCGATCATTTCAAAGTACCTTTTCCAACAATATTTGACTGTATTGAAATATTAATCCACCCTTTTTGGTTGCAATTTTAAAGATTTCAGTCGAAAATGTATATGGTCTAACATTTTAAAAAAGTCCGAACGCAAATTAAACCCCATTAAGCTTTGTACTATATAGTCCTAACCCAAACTCCAAAATTACCGATGACAGACGAACGAAAGCATGCATTTTCCAGCGCTGACTATATTTTGCGGCCCTGATTCAGCAGACATCATCGGCTATCCCAAGCTGTCATCGTTGCTGAGTCTTTTTGGCCAGCCTTAACAAAAATATTCGGAAATCTTTCACCTGTCTTTATCCCACCCCACCCACAAACAACAATCAAGGGCGACGGAGGAACTCTCCGAAAGTAGATTCACCCTCGAACTGATTCGGGCCAAAGAAAGTTCGTGAACGATCCCTTGCGTCGCTGAGAATCCAGTTTAAAAAGAAACTTCGCTTCAAGTTAGTGGAGAGAAACGATTCTCTTTTTCTTAAAATTCGGTGACAGCGCAAGGAGGAATTTAAATAATACATTACCACTGCTATTGAGGAAATCTTTCTCATCAACTGAACCTTAAAACAGGAATGTCTGCCCTGAAATGGAGTAACTGCACGCAGTTTGTAATCGCTGTAGACTCCCTCCCCCTCTCTCTGCCTAAGTTATGCGGATTGGAGCCAATGGAAGGCCACCCGAACCGACAACCCGCATTCCGCAGTCAGGAGAAAATATATTTCAATCGGTCAGCATCGTGGACGGCAAAAACCCGTCTCACAAAATGACTAATACCAACAAATGTCACAGAAAAGTCATGCCATAAACACGGTCAGTCTTATAAATTATCAGCAAGCATCGCAGAGTAATGGGGTGAGGGGGGTCTAGGCCCAAAACGTCAGCTTTCCTGCTCCTCTGATGCTGCTTGGCCTGCTGTGTTCATCCAGCTCTACACCTTGTTATCATAGAGTAATTATATTTAAGGAAGTTAAGTCTCACAGAATCTACTATTCTATAGTAACAGAAGTTTTGATGTAAAATCTGGGCCTTTAAATGTTATACATAACCCATATACAAGTTAAATACGATAATGCAATTCCAAAACTGAAATAGTCAATCTTATGCTTTTCCTTACTTTCGCCATTTAGTTGAGTTGGTTTTCCCAAGGGTTTAATTTTATTCTTTTGTGTTTGTCCGTTCGTGTAAAAGAAGCCTGTACGAGGGTTCAGAACTGTGATGAAAAACTATTTTCTCCTCACCCATCCTAACGCCACAGAATGTGGGCGGGGCTTCCGAACTTCCTGATTGACAGTTACGCGTCGCATTGTTTTCATTCCATCCCGGTCACGTGGCCGTGCGCGCCCGCGTGCGTCGCTACGCTGGCATTCGACGAGGAGGCGGGGCGGAGGTCTGGTCGTGGAATTTGATATCTGATTACTCCATACCGAGCCGAACTGTAGGCCTGCGGTGCCCTTGAACCCACATCTAAATGTCAAAGAAAGCGAACCAGAACTTGTGGTGTTCAACGTAATAGCATTCAAAAGCAAACTGAACACTATTTCTCAGAACAAAAAGGGTTTATTATGACTATTCAGCTAGTGCTGGTTCTTCCAAAGACGTATGTAATTTCACTTTCCTGCTCTTTTTAACATGCCGTGCGTTTCCCTGAAGTTTTAAAAGCATTTTTGCAATTTCCTTTTGAAAGTTACCATTGAATCAACTTCCACCAGCCTTTCCGTAGCTGGTTTGATGATCAAAATCATACAATCCACACAGCGCGGAAAAGGCCGTTTGGCCCTATCGAGTCTGCACTGACCCTCCAAACCTTCATCCCACCCAAGCCCGCACCCTATCCCTGTAACCCCGCATTTACTGTGGTCAACGCATCCACCTAATCTGCACATTTTTGGGCCGTGCGAGGAAATCCATTGCAGACACGGTAGAAATAGAATTTTTTCAGCATGGAATTTTTCAGAACTTTCTGAAGAAGGGACCCGAAACGTCAGCTTTCCTGCTCCTCTGATACTGCCTGGCCTAAGCCAACTTTTCAATTTTCCAAATTGCCCTGGATCCAATGGGTTCTTAGCTTCTTAACTAATCTGGCAAACAATATGTAATAAAAATCCTTGCGAAAGATACAGATGTAAACAGTTGTAAACAGCATGATAATATCAATGCAGTGGTCAGATGGACAGGAAAATGGCAAATAGAATTCAGTCAAAAGCAGTGTGCATTTGAGCTGCCTAATCAAGATAAGAGAATACATAAGAAATTACAGTGGAAGATACTTTGAACATCCCATTAATACTAAAGAGTGTGGGAGAAGAATTAAGTACAATTGCTAGTGAAGTAGCATTAGACAAAGTAATGGGGCTAAATGCTGGCAAAATAATATCCAAAAAGAAGTAGAGATAGTAGGAACTGCAGATGCTGGAGAATCCGAGACAACAAGGTGCAGGGCTGGATGAACACAGCAGGCCAAGCAGCATCATAGGAGCAGAGAGGCTGACGTTTCGGGCCGAGACCCTTCATCAGAAAAGGGGGAGGGGAAGGGGGTTTTGAAATAAATAGGGAGAGAGTGGGAGGCGGATAGAAGAGGGATAGAGGAGAGGATAGGTGGAGAGGAAACAAACAGGTCGAAGAGGCGGGGATGGAGCCAGGAAAGGTGAGTGTAGGTAGGGAGTTAGGAAGGGGATAGGTCAGTCCAGGGAGGACGGACAGGTCAAGGAGGCGGGATGAGGTTGGTCGGTAGGAGATGGAGGTGCGGCTTGAGGTGGGAGGAGGGGATAGGTGGGAGGAAGAACAGGTTAGGGAGGCAGGGACGAGCTGGACTGGTTTTGGGATGCGGTGGGGGGAGGGGAGATTTTGAAACTT